CCATACCTAACAGAAATGAAAACAGCGCTGTCACTCTGAGACACGCTCGCGTCTGTCTCCAAGACTCTGAACCGCGACGCCCATCGCAGTAAGTCGGTCCCGCGCAGAAGCGGAGGCCTCGCACGCCGGCCGGGACGCTTTTCGCCAGGTCGGCTTCCCACGCTGCCATCAAGCGCTCACTGTCGCAAAAGATCCGTCCCTGCGCGACTCTTTCCCCTTCCGCCGTCAACCGTGACTTCGCTGCGCCCGCAGACGGCTTTACAGCACAACTGGAGAGGGTGACAGAGCGCTTTACGACAGTCGCTTTGTGGCAGTGGCTGAGGAGGAAGATGGCGGCCACCTTAGTATCCGCTGGAGGAGCGGGGTCTGTCCCAGCCTGGGGTCCCGAGGCTATTGCCCCCGACTGGGAAAGCCGGGAAGTCTCCACAGGGGTGAGGAGGCACCCGGGGTTCGGGAGATGCGCACGAGGCTTGATGCGATGGAACGATGAGGGCTGAGGGGGCTCGGCGAACTGGCGGCGGGGGCGGGAGGTGGTGTGCTCTGTTCCAGCAGGAAAGAGGTATCCTGAAGATGCTGGAGAGCGGTGGGAGGTGGAGGGGAGGCTGAAGAGTGGAACGCTGTCATTTTGCGGCACGGGGGAGGGGGGGGTTGGTTAAGGCCGGGATGGGCCTCTGAGGATTTCAGGATTGGGATTCTGCTACTCCGCGGCGTGTTGGGGCCCCCACGAGATTTTTGATAACGGGTCGGTGGCGCACGACTTTCGGACTCCAGGGATCGCACTGAGGGATCATTGAAAGTTTGTGTGTGCTGGATAATGGGAAGCGGCCCAGATTCACCCCTTTTCTCGTTTCTCGCAGACCACTATCATGGCCGTGCAATTTGAAGGGGGCGTGGTTCTCGGAGCCGACTCCAGAACTACCACTGGGTGAGCTCAGGACACCTGCGTGGCAGGTCATCCCCTCTCTCCCTTCTTTCCTTGCCTGACAGTGCGTCCTTACCCTCCACAGTCCACCGTGGGAAGGGAGGTTTCTTCCCTTCTTGGAGATAAGGATCTGTTCCAGCTCCCACTCCTTCCCAGTTTCCCTCCTCCCCCTTGGCTGAAATGTTTGCAAAAGTCTGGTCTCCAGCTAGCTTCCGTTTGGGTGAGAACTGATAGGAAATGCCGGAATGCCTGTTCTGAGCCCTTGGAGTGGGTAGTAATGGGATGGAGGTGGGAGGCCAGCGGGATCGCCCCCTCACTGTTCTGCCATCCTGCAGGTCCTACATTGCCAATCGAGTGACTGACAAGCTGACCCCTATTCATGACCGTATCTTCTGCTGCCGCTCAGGCTCAGCAGCAGATACCCAGGCAGTAGCTGATGCTGTCACGTATCAGCTCGGTTTCCACAGGTACCTGTGGGCAGGGGAGGAGCAAGTATCTGAAGGGAGTTGGGACCTGGGATGCTAAATGGTCTAACTCCCAGATCCCGACACTGCCTCTCCTGTCACTCTCCTCCCCCTCTAGCATTGAGCTAAATGAGCCTCCGCTGGTGCACACAGCCGCCAGCCTCTTTAAGGAGATGTGTTACCGATACCGGGAAGACTTGATGGCAGGAATCATCATTGCGGGCTGGGACCCCCAAGAAGGAGGGCAGGTGAGACACCCCCACCCCCCCATCAGAGCCCTGGAGCCATGCCTTTGGTCCTTCCCCACCGCAGCCATTTTCTGTTTGTCTTCCCAGTCTCTACCTCCCTTACTGTCAACTCATCTCAGACCACCCGCGTGGGCGGGTGTATGTACGTGTGTGGCATAGGGTACAACTGGTGACTTTTCTTCTCCTTCCGTCTGGCAGGTGTACTCGGTGCCCATGGGGGGCATGATGGTAAGACAGTCCTTTGCCATCGGGGGCTCTGGGAGCTCCTATATCTATGGCTATGTCGACGCTACCTACCGGGAAGGCATGACCAAGGAAGAGTGTCTACAATTCACGGCCAATGGTGAGAACTTGGGTTTCTGGGCCTGTGAACGTCAACCCTCTTATCCAAGCCAGGCCAGCACTCCCCATTCCTTGTAGTGATCCCAGCACCTGACCCTGACCCCAGCTTTCTTCGTTTGTTCACAGCCCTCGCTTTGGCCATGGAACGGGACGGCTCCAGCGGAGGTGTGATCCGCCTGGCGGCCATCGAGGAGTCAGGGGTGGAGCGGCGGGTACTTTTGGGGGACCAGATTCCCAAATTCACCATCGCCACGTTACCGCCTCCCTGATTCCTAGAATTCTAGGATACAATAAGAGACACCCCATAGCGACATAAAATTCAATAAACACTTTGTCAAGAAGAATCTGCTTTGAGGTTCCTTTCCTGACCTCAGGCCTGAACTTGTTCGGCCTACGCCCGCCTGTACGGACCACTGCTCTGAGCTGGGGGGGGAGTTGGAGACAAACCTTGGCCAGAGTGGTTTTCAAACCTCTTTCTCCAGACCATCCCCCCACACTTCCTTCCCCCCACCACACCCAGGTCCCTGGGGCACCAAGGTGTGGTTGAAACGGAGGCTCCCACCTGATGACCAGCCCCTTCCCTGTTCAGGCGCAGGGTGGGATTCAGAATCCTGACTGTCCCTGGGGTTACCTCCCCTCAGCCTGCCTCCGGCTCAGGCTCACGGTCCCCTCTTTCCACACCTGTCTCTGTCACCTCATCTTGTCAGGAGCAGCACTGTGGCTACGGTGGCTTTGGGGAGAAAGGTGGGCCTTGTTTGCGGATGGCGTTTAAGACGGATGTCGGGTGGGTGGGAGAGGACGGCCCCTGGGAGTCCTGTGGGCCCGCTGTGAAGCCCACGGAGGTGTGATGGTAAATCCGTCTTTAGCTGCCTGGATGGGAGGCTGAGAGTAGACTCTGGCCCCCCGAGTCTGTGCCCACTCGGGCCAGGGGCCGAAAGGAGTTCAAGGGTGCTTGTTAGCAGTGCCCGGCTTTCTCAGCCTTGCCTCAACTTTCCTCCACTCTGTGGATAAGGGAACTGAATACCACATTCGAAAACTTTGGTCTAGAATATGATCCTGCCCTGGAGACTCTGGGAGGTTACACGGGAGGCTTCCTGAGGAGGTGGGTAGGTCCGGGATTAAGTGGCAAAGAGCAGAGAAGGCCCTCTGATCCCAAATGTATGTACCTCAAACTTAAAATAACCCATAGACGACTTTTGATTTTGTTTGCAAAACCTGTTTACCCGGTCCTCCTTCCTCAAGGCGTCTTGGATTCCTCTCGTCCCCTTACACTCTGCATTGAGCCTGAACACTCCCCACCCACTTCCTGTCACTGGCACGTTGCTCTTCCATAAGCAATGTTACCTGAGTTTCAGGGGCACAACATAGCGATTCGACAACTCTGTGTGTTTGCTATGCTCACTCCACAGCCCTGTCTTGATCCAAGCCACCATTGTGCCTTGTCTGCCAGACGGCAACAGCCCCCTCCGTGGCCCTGCTGCTTCCACACTCCCCTTCTATAATCTCCCAAAGAGCAACCAGAGTGATTTTTTTTTAATGTTTTATTTTATTATTATTTTTTAAGTTTATTTGTTTTCAGAGAGAGAGGCAGTGTGCGAGGAAGGAAGGGGCAGAGCGAGAGGGAGAGAGAGAATCCCAAGCAGACTCCACAGTCGGCACAGAGCCTGATGCAGGGCTCAAACCCACGAACTGTGAGATCGTGACCTGAGCCGAAATCAAGAGTCGGACGTTCAACCAACTGAGCCACGAGGGGCCCCAACTGGAGTGATCTTTAAATGTAAGTGAGAACACGTTTTACCTCCTTACCATGGTCTCGATGACCCAACAGTTCCCCCAATGTTGACGCTCTAGTCACTTGTTTTTTTCTCTTCCCTTGGACCTCAGGGCATTTGCACTTATACTGGCTGTTTATCTGCCACAGATCTCCTCTTCCTTGATTTAAAAAAAAAAAAAATTTTTTTTTTTTTTTTTTTAAGTCATCTATGCCCAGCGTGGGGCTCAAATTCATGACCCTGAGATCAAGAGTTGTGTGCCCCTCCAAATGAGCCAGTCAGGCGCCCCCTAAAAACAAACTTTCTAATTATTAATTAAATTTTTTAAATTTATTTTTGAGAGAGAGTGAGTGAGCAGAGGAGGGGCAGAGAGAGAGAAAGAAAGAATCCCAAGCAGGCTCTGCACTGTCAGCCCAGAGCCTGACGCGGGGCTCCATCTCATGAACTGTGAGATCATGACCTGAGCCGAAATCAAGAGTCAGAGGTTTAACCCACTGAGCTACCTAGGTGCCCCCTAAAATACGCTTTTTGTAGAGCAGTTTTAGGTTCATGACAAAACTGAGCGGAGATTTCCTGTCTGCCCTTGCCTGCCCTCACAGGTGCACAGCATCCCTCACTACCAACATCCTGCGTCAGAAACGTTTGTTACAATGACTCTACACTGACCCGTGGTTTCCCGGTTTCCACTTGGCTACTTACATTCAGGTCTCAGATGCCACCTTATCAGAAAGCCCCTCACTGACTACCTGGAATTTCCAAGCCCCCCCCCCCCCACCCCTCCTGCCCAACGTTCAAGGTACCGCGTGACTCCCTCCACAGCGTTCACCGCCCTCTCTCTTAGCTCCTGTGTCTACGTGCCCTAGGAGGAGTTGAGCCCCGGGCGGGGGTGGGGGTGGGGTGGAGGATGGGGAAGAAGAGACGGGTCTCTGCTTGGTTCACTGATGCATCCTCAATGCCTGGAAGGGAGGGGACGCACACGCTTCCTCGCCTCATCTGCGGTCCCGTCTGGCCTCCAGCCTCTCCTCACCCTCAACTCTGAAGCTAGATTTCGGGGCACCCTCCCTTCTGCCACCCCCACCTGGGCCCCGAGTTAGATCAGCTGTGTCACTCACTACTCCCGCGTCCCCTACCATAGGTGCTATGCTTCTCCCCCTGAGCGCCGCACCCCAGCCCCGGGGGGGGGGGGAGGGCCTCGGCCCTCAACCGCTCCCCACCCCGCCCCCCCAACAGACACGCGCGCGCACACAGCACCTGGCAGCTCTGAGTATATTTAATGACAAGGTCGTGGGGGCTGTGGGGCCAAACAGGGATCACCCAGAAGTCTGGGGAGGGAAGGTTGCAAAGTTCAGCCCCCGGTCGTCCCCATCAAATGGTGGAGTCATTGGCCGTCGCCGGGTCGTGCAGCTGGTGGCGGAAGGAGAGTCGGGCCTTCCTGCTGAAGTAGGCGCCAGACCCTAGGGAGGGTATCCCTCCCTCAGCCACGGTGGGGGCTTCAGCCTGGCTGGGGTTTGGGTCTGGAGGGGCAGCGGAATCCAGGCCTGGAAGGGAGATGGGAGGAGGGAGAGGGGTGTTGCGGCCCGTGTTCTTCCTTCCTTCCCCATGGTGAGGACCCAAGAGGCCAGGGAGGCCACCTGGGGTCCTGGGGCCCCGAGAGGGGGTGTGGAGAGAGCAGGCCTGCGACCTGGGCGGTCACTCGGGACCTGCCACGCAGAAGGGCCCCTGCTTGCTGTGATGCTGCTGTCACCGTCACGAAGGTGCTATTTTTTTTTTTTTTTTTTTTTACGGGGGCTTCACTTGCTCATTCGGCAGCGGCCCTGCGAGGTATTTAGGCGGCCCTGTGGGGAAGCCCACCTCCCACCCGCAAGACAGACCATTCCTTTCCCTCCACTGGCTTGACCATGTACCTTTGTCCCCGGTGCGGTCTCTCCGCCTCCCTGCCAGCCCCCCTTTTTCCTCAGCCACCCCCTCCCCATACCTGCTCCTCTTCCAGTCCTCTGCTGCCTCCGGCACCCACACCATGGGAAACACCATGCCCCCTTGAGACCCATCTCACCAGTGGAGGAGACCAGGGTGCCGGGACTGGTCAGGAGGGCCCCAGGAGGAGGGGTGTGGCTGGCAAGCCCCCCCACTGTGGGCCAAACTACCACTTAGCCTCAGACCGCCTGGTGATTATAGGCGCCAGGGGATGGAAGGAGGAGGAGAGGGAGGAGGGAAGAGGTGGACGGATACCCCATTCAGACACCTATCCTGTCGCGCCCCCTTAATTTGGGAGCCCTCTCTGATCTCCAGGGAGAAGCAGGAGGCCACTGGGAGGGGGGAGGTGGCAGAGACAGACACAGAGGGGCTGGGGCCACCGACAGGAGCCGTGAAAATCCGCTGACAGCTTGCTTCCAGCCTGGATGCTGCTGGGGACTCACTGGTATTCTGGAATGAGAATTCAGAATGCCCATGACGTAAAATCATAAAGAAAAAAAAAAATAGTCTGTTCTCACGGAAGGTGAAATTGTGCTAGCCGAGGAAACGTTAGGTTCTCACTAAACGGTCCGGGAGCTCTTGTCGCCTTTAATAGGACACTGACGATGGATTAGTTATGCTGTGCCAGGTAGATTCAAGGGACTTTTTACTTGTTATCTTGCTTAATCATGTCAGTGATGCCTGGAGGTACATGTTATCACTGTCCTGATTTTACAAGCAAGGTCACGGAGGCAGCTGGAGCGGGGACTCCCTCCACCCCCACCCCCTGATCCCAGCCCACTCTGTGCTCTGCAGTGAGCTTCCCCGCATCAGGTGCTGATGCCCTCAGCCGGGCAGGGGACAGGGGTGGGGGGAGCAGAGCACCCTCGTCAAGGACTCTAAACGCCCCCCAGCACAGCCGTGCAAATGTGCTCTTAACTTGGGAAGTTGCCGGCTCTATTGGACTAGCAGACTCAGAAACCTGTTTCTTGTTTCTTTCCTTCTTTCTTTTTTTTTTTTTTTTTACATTTAAAGTTTATTTGTTTTGATTTTGAGAGACAGAACAGCAGGGTAGGGGCAGAGAGAGGGGGCAGGGGATCTGAAGCAGACCCTGCGCTGACAGCAGAGAGCCCAATGTGGGGCTCGAACTCACAAACTGTGAGATCGTGACTTGAGCCGAAGCCGGACGCTTCACCGACGGAGCCGCCCAGGCGCCCCTGTTTCGCACTTCTAAATTACCGGTCTCAAGGGGCGCCTGGGCGGCTCCGTCGGTGAAGCGTCCGACTTTGGCTCAAGTCGTGACCCAGCCCCGAGTTGGGGCTCTGTGCCAACATCTGGGAGTCTGGAGCCTGCTTCCGATTTTGTGTCTCCCTTTCTCTCTGCTCCTCCCCTGCTTGTGCTCTGTCTCTCTCTCTCAAAAGTAAACAAATAAATAAACATAAATAAGTCACCTTTATTGAAGTGAAAATTTACATGCAATTGAATACACACATCTGTGTCCAGGTCTGTAAATATTAACAAGGGTACACACTCGTGAAATAATCACCCCAGTCGAGATACAAGACGTTCCCATCACCAGCTTCCCTTCCTTCTCTACGCCTCCCACCCCAGACAGCTACTGATCTCATTCCTGTCCAAACAGATTGGATTTGCCTTTTTCCGGGCTTTATTTAAGTGGAGTCCTAGAGTATTACTTCCGTCTGTCTGACTTCTTTCAGCATAACGGTTTTTAACTTCGCCCAAGTTGTATGTGTTTGCAGCTTACTTGAGGTTTTTTGTTTTTTTTTGGTAACAACAGTTTTATTGAGATAGAATGGACATACCATAAAATTCATCCTTTTATTTTTATATATATTTTTAAATGTATTTTTTTTATTTTTTTTTAACATTTATTTATTTTTGAGACAGATAGAGACAGAGCATGAGCAGGTGAGGGTCAGAGAGAGAGGGAGACACAGAATCCGAAACAGGCTCCAGGCTCTGACCTGTCAGCCCAGAGCCCGATGCAGGGCTCGAACTCACGGACCACGAGATCATGACCTGAGCCAAAGTTGGACGCCCAACCGACTGAGCCACCCAGGCGCCCCTAAATATTTATTTTTGAGAGAGAGCACAAGCAGGGGAGGGACAGAGAGAGAGCGAGACACAGAATCGGAAGCAGGTTCCAGGCTCTGAGCTGTCAGCACAGAGCCCGACGCAGGACTTGAACTCACAAACCGGGAGATCATGACCAGAACCGAAGTCAGACGCTCAACCAGCTGAGCCACCCAGGCGCCCCTAAAATTCACCCTTTTATAGGATCCAATTCAGTGGCTTTTACTATATTCATCAGTTGAGAAACATCAACTAATTTTATAACATTTTCATCATCCTTGAAAGAGAGCCTGTACCCCCTGTCGGTCACTCCCCTGTCCTTCTTCTCCCCAGCTAGTGGCTAACCTACCTTCGGTCTCTACAGGTTTTGGACATTTCGTCTAAATGGACTCACATAATATGTTGTCCTTTGTGTCTGACTTTTTTTCATTTAGCATATTCTTTTCTTCTTCTTTTTTTTAAGAGAGAGTGGGGCGCCTTGGATGGCTCAGTCAGTTAAGCGGCCGACTTCGGCTCAGGTCATGATCTCGTGGTCCATGGGTTCGAGCCCCGCAGCGGGCTCTGTGCTGACAGCTCCGAGCCTGGAGCCTGCTTCCGATTCTGTATCTCCCCCTCTCTCTGTTCCCTCTGCCACTCGTGCTCTGTCTCTGTCTCTCAAAAATAAATAAATGTAAAAAAAAAAGTTTTAAATAAAGAAATATTAAAAAAATAATAACAAAAGAGTTGGATGCTTAACCGACTGAGCCACCCAGGTGCTCCTTCCTTAGCGTAATATTTTCAAGACCTGCCCCTGTGGCAACGCGTGCTAGAGCTCCATTCCTTTTTGTGGCCGAGTGGTGTACCTTGGAGGAACCACCATGTTTTGTCTGCCCATTCAGCAGCTGAGGGACGTTGGGTTGTTCCCACGGTTTGGCTAGTTGAGTACTACCGCGTGCAGGTCTCTGTGCGCCCGCGTGCTTTCAATTCTTCTGGGTCTTCACCTAGGAGCAGAATTGTTGGGTTGCCATAGGGTAGCTCTACCATTGACTTTTTCTCTTTCAGTTAAAGGGCGTTTGACACACAATGTGACCTTAGTGTTGGGCGAGTACGACACAACATAGCGATGTTGGGCGAGTACGACACAACATACCGATTGGACAACTGTGTACATTATGCTACATGCTCCGCAAGCGTAGCTCCAACCCGTCACCACACGCGGCGCTGTTACAGTATCACTGTCTATAATCCCTGTGCTGAACCTTTCATCCCCACGACTCATTCGTTCCCTAACTGGAAGCCTGGACCGCGCTCTCCCCTCCCCCTCCCCTCTGGTAACCACCGGTTTGTTCTCTGTATTTCTGGATCTGTTTGTGCTTTGTTTGGTCATTTTTTTACATTTCACATGTAATGAGATCATATGATATTTGTCTTTCGCGAACTTATCTCACTTAGCATCATACTCTCTAAATCCATTGATGTTGTTGCAAATGGCAAGATAGCATTCTTTTTTTACGGTTGAGCAATATTTCTGTGTGTGTGTGTGTGTGTGTGTGTGTGTGTGTGTGTGTACCACTCTTCTTTCTCCGTTCAATCAATCAGTGGACATTTAGGTTGTTTCTATATCTTGGCTATTGTAAATTATGCTGCTATAAACATGGTGATGCATATATCTTTTTGAATCAGTGCTTTCATTTTTTTTTTAATTTTTTTTTTTACATTTATTCATTTTTGAAAGACAGAGACAGAGCATGAGTGGGGAAGGGGCAGAGAGAGGGGGAGACACAGAATCCAAAGCAGGCTCCAGGCTCTGAGCTGAGCTGTCAACACAGAGCCTGACGTGGGGCTCGAACCCATGGACCACAAGATCATGACCTGAGCCAAAGTCGGACACTCCACGGGCTGAGCCACCCAGGCTCCCCAAGAGCACTAGGATTTTAAACACAGAAGCCACATTCTGTGACAAAGTGTTTGTGATACATATATCGGCTAGTGGATTTGTATTCAAAATATACAAGGAACGAATTCAGAGATACGACATCGTTTTTAAAAAATTACCAAAAGCTGGAAGAGACACTTTGCAAAAGGAGATTATGCAAATGGCCAGTAAGCACGTGAAACTCGATCAGCTTCATTACTCCTCAGAGAAAGGCGAATAAAGCTACGACGATTTACTTCCTTTACCCTCAGAACAGCTAATGCTAAAAAGTTGGGCCACGTCAGATGCTGGCCACGCCGTGGAACCACCAGAAGTAACACAGACTGGTTTGGGAAAAGCAAAACGGAGCGACCACTTTGGGATCCAGTCTGGCAGTTTCTCATAAAGGCAAAATGCACTTTTTACAGGCCCTGGCAACGCCTCTGCGAGCTATTTACCCACGAGAAAGGGAAACGCTTATCCACACAAAGACTCCTACAGGAATGTTTATAGGAGCTTTATCGCAATAGATTAGAAACAACCCAGATGTCCATCGGGAGAGATAAGGAAATCCGCATTTGAAAAAAAAAAAAAAAAAAAAGAGGGCATAGGGGCGCCCAGTGGCTCAGTCGGTTGAGTCTGCGGCTTTGGCTCAGGTCGTGATCTCGCGGTCTGTGGGTTCGAGCCCCGCGGCGGGCTCTGTGCTGACAGCTCGGAGCCTGGAGTCTGCTTCGGATTCTCTGTCTCCCTCTCTCTCTGCCCCTCCCCTGCTCGTGCTCTGTCTCTTTTTCTCCGAAAATTAAATAGTTTTAAAAATTAAAAAAAATAAATAAATAAAGGGGGCATATTTTGTCTTTTAGAACCTGAGAGTTTCCCGCCTGCTCCCGGACTGTGGGTCCCCGGAGAGCGGGCTCGGCGGCGGCCGGTTCGCTCACTGTTGTGCGCCCGGAGCCCGGCCCGGGGCAAGTGGCGAGACGTGGTGCAGGAGCGGTGTAGGAGCGCACGTTCCCCAGCCCCCGGCCGCCGGCCCCCGGGCCCTTGCGCCGGCCCTGCCTCTACCGCCGCCTCCCCCCGCCGGCCCCCGGGCCCTTGCGCCGGCCCTGCCTCTACCGCCGCCCGCCGCAGTCCCCGGGACCAGCGCTCGCTCGACGGCCTTGCGGCGGGGCGGGCGCGGAGGTGAGGCCGGGAG